AACATTCTTACCGAATGCTCTTCTTTCAAGAGTTTCAAAGCTTGTGGGAAAAATGTGTTCTTTGCTCTGTGCTTGGCCTGAAAGCTACTCAGGAACGTGGCAATGAGGGTGTGGAGCAAAATGTCTGTCCCCACTACACTTGCAGACACATGTGAAGCAAGGTCAGCCCATGCTCTAAGCTGTGAAAGCTATGAATCTGCATGAGAGTGATGCTGTTCCCTGACTAACTCACCTGGTTTCTGAGCTGGCCTCAATTGCTCATGTTGGCTGCCACAACTTCCAGTTTGGAGCTCCCTCTAGTATCAAGAGAACAGGTCAGCTCCAGCATATTGATGACTGAAAAAAATGAAATCCTTTCTCAGATCTATTTCTCTGACTAAGGAAACAATTTTAAACAGGCAAAAACCAAGTTGATCAAACAACCACCCAAGGGCATGGCTGCAGTGTTGTATCAACACATTGGGGTTTCAGAGGTACAGAGCAGCACCTGCTGCCCCCGTCACACAATACTTGGGCAACACTCAGATGATCCAGTGATGGAACTACATCTGCATGTCAGCACGGCTGTCTGCAGAGACACATCATGCTCCTTGCCTGGCCACAGGTAGTGAGAAGAGCTTTGTGTATAAGGAGAACAAGTTCAAGGAAAGGTTTAATATCACACTGAGAAGACTCATGTATCACTTCTGCTCCATTGCTTTGTGTCTTCTTTTATCATGATATTTTTAACTAGGAAAATAATTTTGTTTAAAATCACTTCCAAAATCTTCGTTTTACTTGGAGCCCTATAGGAACATTACAGAACTATTGCAAGATGCTATTTCTTAGAAAAGCACAGAGGATTTCTGCAACAGAGAAAAAACCTGAAATATCTGAATATTTTCAGATATTTCATTACCTAATGCTTAAATATATGGCATTTAATTTACTGAGGCATCTGTTCTCTCTCATTATTTAAGGCATCCCTCAGAAGACTACTTTAAGAACACATCATTCAAAACCAAATGCTGGAAATACCAAAGAAAAATGATATAATTTATTCATGGGACATTGTCCTTTCTGTCAAGGAAGAATTCATGACCTCTAGAGTGAAGCTGAAAGTCCTGTTGCCTTTGCTTATCATTAACTGATCTCCATCCAGGTGCTGCCCTGTGGAAATGGGCCTGACAGGAACAAACCTTGTTCTGAAGTAAAGGCAATCTATGGCAATAGTGAAGAGGCAATAGTGGCACAACAAAAGGAACAGCAGCAGTCGGTGGGGTGGGTGAGCACACGGAGAAGCACATGCCCTGGTGCAAGCCACATGTGGGAACCTTTAACGAGCTTCAACAGAAGCAGCAGTGAATGACTGGCCAGCAGATTAGCAGCTTGACTGCTGCCGTGGGAGAGGTTATTTTGGACACCATGAGCAAGAGCAACATCAGGAGGCATGTCATGGAGCAGCAGGTTTACTGATTGTTTCTAGACATGTCACTGGATGAAAAGTAGTTTCTCCATTTCAAGTGGTTTGGTATTTATTGGAGGACAGGACTGGCAGAACAGAAGCTGTGCAGGTGGGTTAGCATCATTTTCTCTAGTTTCACCCAAGCTAAGGCTCTAGTAGTGGATGAGTCAGTGCAAGGGTTTTTCAGTAACTTTTCATAAATTTGATATTACAATTGGAAAATTGAGCCCTTCTGATGATGAAACAGGTGTGTGGTAAAACTTGTACTGCAATACCTAGAGGAAGCTGGTGATTCCTGCCTGTTTCCCTTTTGTATTATTGAGATCAAAGAAAAAAAGAGCAGGTCTTTGTATTAATAAAACTATACAAAAAGTTTCTTTAAAAATCACTGGCAAGATCTTTCTCTTTAGGACGAACTGAAGAAACTGTGACATTTCAGCTCACTTCAAAAATAACTAGAAAGATAGTATGCTTTGGTCTGAAAATCAGAAACATCCGTTCCCTGTCCCAGTTCCTTTTCACTGAATTTAGAAGTCCAATGATGTTTCAGAGTTAGCCTGTCTCTTCAGTCACTTCACAGACACAAAGAATTGTAATCACAAATCACATAATGCTGTGCTCAGCTTTCAACAAAAGAGGAACAATTCTAGTTGCATTTAAATAGTGTCACCCAAGAATACATATCAGCTGTCCCTTGTTTTCAAAGATATCCCTCAGTTCTTTCTCAAATGTATGCATGTTTCTCCCAAATGTGATGACTCTGATGTTTTACTGTTGAACAGCATAAATTTAAGAACTATCAACTACATTTTTTTTCCCCTGTGCAGTGCCAGGTCCCAGTCCTGTACAGGCTGGTGCACATTTTCAACTCCATGTCCACTGTGAGTAATTCCACACACTAGAATTGATAGTCTGTATAAAACTGAGCACATGTGTAAATCTTCATAGAAGAGGGATTTTTTTTTTGCAGCAGCAGCTCTGGTTTCCTTCATTGATTTTTCCTCCCCTTAGCAACAAGGCTATTGAGCAATAGGGCAATAGGGTTGGTAGGAATGGACAATATTCACATTTTCTGAAAGAATCTTTTTCTTATGTACCACCTCTTGGGTTGCAGGCCGCGTCTGGGGCTGAAAGTTAAGATACCTAAATGATTCCACAATTCTACACTTTTATTTCTAGCTCCATGGACTTCAATTTCTTTTATTTTTAAAACAATTGCAACATTACCAACTCTTGCAATTTTATTGTAAATCTCACAAAATTTGATATCTTTTGGAAAGCCACAGTTCCTGGAACCTTGTGATTTTTGACGCAGCAACAAGCATGGATTTCTCTATGGCATGTGTGTATCAAAACAAAAGCCTATCAAAGGTTAGAAACGGACATTTTAAATTCAATTCCTGCACTGTTACTGTGACATGACTGGAGCTGATAGAGATTAGAATGACGTCCTGTTATGCCTCTGGGTGTTTTTATCTATATATGCAGGTTTCTGATTAGTTGAACTTTAAGATCTTAGTGCTGCTAAGCCCTTGTTCCGGCTCAGAACCCCACTTGGAATGTAAACAACCTTTTCCTGAAATTCAGGCAGTGCAGGTTCACACAGGCACAAGCTGTGATGGTGGCAGTGTGCCGGCCACATTGGGGAAGACCATATTCCATGTAGATTGCCTGCCATGGTAAATCTCTGTGCCTGAACTTCAGCAAATTTTCATGGACTGTATATTTTGAAAGATCATCTCCAATTGCTATGAATACTCTGGGTTTGAATTAGTGACTGAAGATGGGGCAGTCACCAAAGATGGGAAAGGGAGTAGAGTACCCACAGAAGGAAACAGGGGGGACGGAGGACAGGTTGCAATAAAGGGCAGAGCACGCTAAGGAAGAGGAAGCTAGCAGGACTTTTCTACCCTGAGAAATTCTGGTTTCCTTTCTGCCCTTTAGGGCTTTGGTGTGACCAGTGTGGACACGCACAGTGTCTTTGAACTCAGAGAGAGCACTATATCCTAAATGTATGCCCTCTAATAGCAATTGGTGGCTTGTGAAATCTGCCTCCCCACATCTCTCTTGTGGTTTGTAGCTGCCATGGCATGGTAGGGCAGCTGTGTGTCTTCCCATTCAGGAAGCACAGGAATAAGCGTGGTGGCTTCTGAACTCTTCCATGGGGAACAGATATTAGACAGCTCCAGAGAAAAACCTTCTTGCAGACCTGATGTATGTTTGCTTCTAGGGTCTCATCTGCTATGTGCCAATACACTAATGTCCAAGTTTCTGACTCCATGGGCATCTTGATGTGACAATGGGCTACCAGATTCCTAGCAAAAACTTTGAAGGGCTGAGGGAAGAAGGAGCTCCAGGACCTCATCATAGTGGGAACCTATGGGTACCTGTGCAACCCAATGTAGGGGTGTGGAGTCCCATGATCATCCAGGAATACTCAGCTCAGCTGCTTATGGGTTTGGCTTTGCCGGTAGTCTCCATATCAGCTAGATCTGGGGACACTGTAGCTCCAGTAAAGGATCCACACAGATGTGAAGTGTTAGAAGATGTGTCTCACGCAAGCCAGGCTGCTCTGTGGTGAGGCATCACTCCATAGCTTTTTCATCTCCATAGTGAAATGCAGGACCCACATCTTTCCAGAAGCATCCTGAGCACTGTTGCTCTGCAGAAGACCCAGGCACAGTGTGACGACCCACCCTTCAGGGGAAGGAATTACCCAAGATTCATAAATGCTGTAGTTGAAAGGAACAACGGAAGTCAGAGGGTCTGCAAACAATGAGGTTGATTTGTAGACAAATTAATTTGCTTCAACAATTCAATCTGTTTGAGAGAACAAGATGGGTTAAATAACACCTGTTGGTGTCCTACGTTTTGTGTCACGTATGGGCCAATTTCCCAAACTTCTGGTGTCACTGTCCGAAGGATGCTCGATGTTTACTTAGCTGTTGTTGGTCATGTCAGGGCAAGTGTAGTTTCGCCATTTTTTGGAACTACTATATTAAGTTTGAATATTAGGGCAACCTAGGTTCCATTTTGTCAGAAACACACTACCAAGTGGTTCAACCAGGGTACAGGTGGACAGGGCGACAAGGGGCGGTGGAGGCGGGGGGCCCAACCACGGGCCCTGAGGGGCGGTGGGCACGGCAGGACAGGTCCCTAACGTGCCTCAACCTTCCTTTGGGTCTCACTTGGCTCTTACGTGGGAGACGCACCCCCAGGTCCCCCATGACAGGGCGTAGGAGCTCGAGCAGCGCCGACCGCCTCCCAAACCCCGCCGCCCCGGCCCGGGAAGCGATCCCTCCGCCAGAGCGCCCGTCTCCCTCCGCCGTCCCCGGCGCCGCGGTGTGGCCCGCGCGAGCCGCCGTAGCGCTGCCGGGCCGGGCCGGAGAGCGGCGGGACGGGCGGGGGCTCCCCCCCTGGGCTGCCGGGGCTCGGCGGGCGGGTCCGGCCGCGGCCCCCCGCGCCTCCCCGGCACCCCGCACTGCGGAGCCGCCCCCTCGCTGCTGCAGCCGCCGCCGCGGGTACGGCCCCCGCCCCGCCCGCGGGGGCGGCCCGCACCGCGGCCCCTCCTCGGGGCAGGCCGGCTGCATGGGCAGGAGCTGCGGGCATTGCGGGCGCCGCGCTTGCCGCTCCTGGGCGCCAGGTAGGAGAGGATCACTCGGCGGGGTGGGCTGGGGCGGGGGAGGAGGCGCGGCCCCTCGCCCGCAGTGCTGCCGCCGCAGGGAGGGGGCTGGCGGCTGTGCCGGCTTGGACGTGTCTCTCTGCCTCTCCTCTCTCCTCCCTTCTCTCTCTCCCTCCCTTCCTCCCTCTCTCTCTTTCCCCCCCGCCCCCATTTTGCACGGAAGCCGGGAGGATATCTCACTGCAGACTCTGACTGCATCTCTCTTTCACCCCCGGCCACCGCCGGCGCTCCGGGAAAGGTGAAGGTTTTGGCCGGGGGTCTGTAATCGTTGGCACAGCCGTAGTGCCTCCATGATCCACCTCATAAATAGGGGGTGGGGGGTTGTGGGAACATTATGTGCCTTTATTATCTGGTATCGCACACTATATATTTGTGTGCACTTAAAGCGGAGATAAATTTGTGAGAGTTAAAAAACTCCCTCGTATGTATTCTCGGGGCGCTTCTGCGACTAGACATTTAATAGTCAAGTACAGTATTGTGCTTTCCAGACTGTGAAACATAAGGTGGAATGGATGAGCATGGAGCAAAAGCAAGGGGCTGGATAGACTCCGTTAATGGACTCCAACGGTGGGAATTTTTGTCTTGTTGTAAGATGATACTGAAGTGTAAAACATCTAAATTTCGGATTTGGGAACTGGTTTAGATGTGCTGATTGATACTAAATGGATGATAATTTATGTAGAAGCCTCGGAGAATAGTAGTGCTGCATCCATCCTTATCATAAGCTCTTGAGTTTACATTTCTTGCAAAGACTGAGGCTAGAATTTATTGTGCGTGTTGTATTGACCCACGGGTGCATCTTTCAGTTTAGATTACTGCTGATTTGATCCTCTGGAATCTGCGAAAGGAAAGTTTGCCAGCCTCTCTGAATAGCTTTGCAGAGTAACAGGAGTGGAGTTCCTGAGCAGAATCGCTGAGAGATATGTGAACGAGTGTGAGCAAGGCTGAGGACATTGGTATTTCTGCCTCAAACCTGGGCTCATTCCCCAGGCACAGTGTCTGTGTGTGGGGTGAATACCCTTGTGACACCTGGAGATGATGTCGGTCGAAGGGTCTACGATAACAAGTCGGATCAAAAATCTACTTCGCTCCCCTTCCATTAAGCTGAGGAGAAGCAAGCCTGGGAACAAGCGAGAGGATATAGGCAACAAGGTGAGTGCTGTGTGGTGCAGCTAGCATGGTTTAACTTTGTTGTCTAAGCTTCCATCTGTACTGACAATGCTGCTTTGGGAGACCTGTATAACTGTAGAATGATACAGGGACACTGATCTGTGACTGGTATGTCTTTTAGCTGGGATCTTTGCTGTGCTGCAGATCCTTGCTAAAACCTGTGTTTCTCTTCTGAAACTCTTTTTGCTTCTATGGTATGTACCCAGTCTGTATCAGAAAGCTTTTGGGATTTCCCACACTGGTGTGTAGAGCTGTTACAGATGACTGATAGGAGAAATATAATGCTGCCTCTTCCTCCATGTTACCAATTGCTAACCTGCATTACCAGCAGCTAAGGATACAGAAAATGTTCTGTGTAAGCAATTGCACTCACTCTGCAAAGGATGTTCTGTGAGGATGTGGGAGGGGAAGGATGATCTGAAAGATGAAGGATGCGATACATGTCTTGGACGTGTCTTTTCTGTTGGTGTCTGCGTTCCACAGGCCTGGATGTTCTTTCTTCTGTGTTCAGCTGTGCGCCTCAGACACCCTTCCTTGGGGATATCTTCTATGGGATATAATTGGTTCTACCAGAAAAATCCATCATTCTTGGTGTTGTGAGGAATTCCTGACAGACAGTCACTCACTGGGAATTGACTAGTGTCATGAGGAAAGGAGGATGACTTAAACCCAGGTTCAGGGAGAACAGGAGCTGGGTGGCATTGCCTTGTGCTGACAAGGCACCTGTGAGTCAGGGCACCTTCTTCTGTCCCTGCCACTGATTCACCTGTAACCCTGGGCAAATCACTCAGCCTTTGTGCAGCTCTCTCTCCATAAATAGAAAGCTAAATCCCTCCTCTTTTGAGAAGACTCACTAATAAATAAGAAATGCTTGTAATCCATGTCTGCAAAGTGCATTTGTTGGTCTCAACACAGTAATGCTTCAAAATTTATCTCTTGAAGAGCACGTGTAAAACTTCAGGGAAATAAATGACACTGTACCTAAAAATTGTCTGTCCCCAGCATGAAATCCTGTTCTCAGAACTCTGGTTCAGGTCAAAGTTTCCCTTAGATGGCTCTTTAATACCAAGGAACACAATATTCTTGTCTTGCCATGCAAGAGAAAAACCTGTATGGCTTCCTCAAAGTTGTCTAGAGGAGAGCCCTTAGTGCTTGTGCATGACCTCGGCGTGTGCATGTGCTGGGTTTAGTGCAGCCTGTGGACTGCCAGTGAAATGTGCTTTCTAGCAGTTGCTGAAGAGTAGTTGGTTGGTCTGTCTGTATTCTGCAGAGACTGCCATTGGAAGAGACAAAAGCCATCTATACCCCCCAAGTATGGTGGGAATTGGATTCTGGCTCTGTGGTCTGCACACTCCTTTTCAGGGCCAGGACCTGCTGCTACACACTCTGGGTATTCTCTGGTACATGTTTCATGTTGTTTCCTTACATGTGCCTTTTAGAAGAGCTCCATTTTATCCCTTGTGCTGTTTCCCAGTGTGCTGTCAGGGCTGTCTGAGCCCCTGGAGATATCATGGATTCATTCCACACCATCAAATTAGGGTTTCAGGGCTAGATTTTGTATACCTTACTAATAAGAGCAGTTAATCAGTGAGATGCAAAGGAACTGCTGGGGAGTTTGCTGGTAGAATCAATTTGTCATTACAAGGAGTTAGGTGCTGGTGTTGGTTTTCTCAAGTAATCTGCTCTGAATTAGCTCAAATGAGTTATAGTCTGCCTTCAGTGGGACAGGCAAAGGAGCAGGCAGGGCAAAAAGGAGTGGGCTCTTTACCAAAGATCTGACATATGTGGGTATCCCTCTGCCGTGGGTGTGCTCCTCTACTTTCCAAGGTGAGAAGCAGCTCTACTTTTCTAAAATAGCAGGAAACAGATCTCAGTATGCTATTTGGTGTGAGTGTAAATCCCTTGGGACTAAAACTGAGCATCATATGCTCCTGAGGAATCTTTTCTGACCTGCGGGAAGGAATTTTTCAGGCATCTTTGTCTCTTGGACTTTTTGAGAAATGACTGCTCCAAGAGATGTATGTAATTGCTCACATGGAAGCATGGAAGGGCCTATGAAGTTGGTCATCTCTGCTGAATGCTGCTTGGTTACATAGGATGGAGCTTTTATTGCTACGAGCTACTTAATTTAAGATGGACAGGCACCCTCAGTAGCACTGGCTAGACTTACATGCGCTGATTTTCCCTTCCAGTGGAAAGTGTCCCTGGTGTCCTACTCTTTCCTTTGTCAGTGTGAGGCTTGCCAGGCTGTCTCAGTGGTTAGGGACAGGCCCCTTATGCAGTTTGTCATGTTGAAGAGAAGGCCTGTGAAAATTGCCTCCTTTCAGTGAGGCAGCTGTGTAGTGCTGGGCTGGATGTGGGCAGGCTGTGGGAGGCTGGCTCTGCAGAGACCTGTTTGTGCATTGCTGTGAAAGGGGGAGTCTGGGTACATAGAGATATTTTGCATGATGGTGGTGCAGGGCATGCAGTGTGTTACTTGGGAGCTGTACAAGAGAGAACTTGTTTTGTGACTTTTATTAGGACTTATTTCTTGCTGTAATTAATGCATGGTTTTACTGTACAGCTCCAGGAGATCTCTATAGGAGTAAAACTAAGGAGCTAATAGATAATCATGGGTATTAAAAATAAAAAAAAAAGGGTATGGAGGAGGAATGAAAGCTCTCTAAATAAATTTTTTTGATAAATTGGATGAAGTGTTTGGCTTTTTTTGCTGTTTTTTGAAACTAGTTTTGTTTGGTTTTTCTTTTTAAATGGGAGCCCTGATTTTTGTTGGTGCTTGACTAGTTTTATGTGTAGGCTTTTTTTTTTTTTTCTTCTGATGTTCATGACTTGAATCCAGTTTTTCTGTCCTCTCCAGATCTCTGTTTTTTTGTGTTGAACCAATATAGACATAGAGTATTGTGACTTAAGTCTAGGCCTGTTGACTGTTGGGATTTGTAACGTGTCAGTGTGGCGGTTGGAATCTAAAATTTCCTCAGATAAGTTGGTTGGAGTGCATTCAATTTCTAGAGGATTACTGGCCCTGCCAGAAACCTGGCCATGCCTCTGATCAGGGTGCTTGTGATTCCAAGAGAGACATGGGCTTAAAAACTGGGCGCTGAGTGCCTCTGAATCACCCTGTGTGAGTGGCACTCTCAGGACAGTGGGGAAGCAAAGGGTTAAAATGTCCTGGTTGCTGTAGTACCCTTCGTCTTGGCTACACAAGTCTCTCTCTGCTCACAGAAGTAATGTACCTAAGCAGGTACAGTTCCTACAGGGGCTGTTTGTATTGTTGAGCTCTACACTTGTAAATATAAACCTCTTTTTAACTGATAAAGCTGTGCCTGTTTGGGGAGGGGGAAGGGTGTATGTGTTCTGGTATCCTCAGTCAAACCAGATTACAAATGTCAGCTTAGAAACAAATTGCTACAAAACCTGCTACAGGCTTTCCCTAAAACGGTAAGCCAGTGAATCAAAGAAACATATTTGGAATTTATGCTTGTTTCTTTGATCTCTCCTGTTTTTTCTAAGCTAGAAATATTTCAAGTTGCCAGTTTAAAAGAGTGCTTTGACTAAAACCTGACATTCCTCAGCACGAAGTCATTCTGCACAGGAACTATTGTATTGTGGTCTCCCCCTTCTCCAAGTGGCATGTGAACACGTACAGCTGGAGTGGCTGTTCCTGCCTGGTGATACTGGGTTGAACTGAGTGGCTCTGCAGGACCTTTTGGAGAGCTTTGTTTCTGAAGATGAGCCCTAAGTTACTCCTAGTGAGACAGGGTTTTCTGTCCTCCTTTGGTGAGGCATGGTCTGTTACTACCAGCCAGCAGAAACAAGTATGTGTACCTCTGTGTCCTGCCAGTGAGCTTTCACAGATTTAAGAGGGAAGCAGATCCATGGAAGCTTGAGACCCCTCATGTCTTGTTGTGCCCCTTGCGTTCCCACGCAGTTCTCCAACTTCTTAATCCCTGGAGAAGCTGCAGGGCTCAGCTAGGACCACAAGCTGTTCTGGACACAGGAGAGTGGAGTCATGTTTCTGGCCTGACTGTAGCTTCCTGCCTTCAGTACACAGTCCTTTTTGTTTGAAAATATCGTGGCTTTCAACATGATTCAGTTTAGACTTAACTAGATCAGCTGAGAATTGCTGAACCTGAACTGTAACAGAACCAAAAACCACACAAGTTTAGTTCACTGATGTAAATGCATCAAAAATCATCACTTCCTATTAAATCACATAGGCTGAGGCTTGTTGCAGAGTGGAATTCTTTGTAAGTCTTTGGGAACAACTTGACTCTGCAGCAGCAGAGCCTCCTGGGTTCCTCATGGGCAATATTTCCCAGGGAGCTGGATATGGAGCTGAGCAGCCTGACTGTGTGGCTAGTTAGAGAACAGCCTGTCTGATGCTGTTTTTGTTTTGGCAGGATTTGGAAGGGTCTTTTACATAATGATGGTGCTTTTGAGGAGCTGTTCAGTGCAGTATTGCCCCATTGGCCTTCTTCATTCCACTGCAGTCTGAGCAGTGCTCAGCCCACCATCCCTGGGACCAGTGCAGCCAGGGGCACAGCTGAGGGGATGCATCTAACCCTTGTCTGGCTGTCTGCTGCTGTACCTGTTCTGCTTCATCATCCGTGAATGTTACTTGGCCCCAGTTGATAACTTGGGATCTTTCTCACAGCTCTGCACTGCATAATCTAAACACACCCAATTGCTTCAACAGCTTAGGGCCTGCTGTCCAGAGATAGGAGGGATTTCATGTCTGTCTCTGGTCAGGCTTATAACAGTGTCCCTTAAAGCAGAGGACAAAGACTGGTTGGCTTCTCCATAGCCAGACCTGCATTTCAGTATCGTGTCTGTATCTGTGAATAGAGTCAGTGGAACAATGGAGAGTGTCATAGCTCAGGGGGTGAATCCTTCTCTACTGGTCTACTCTGGTCCCCCTTACTCCATCCTCAAATATGTGGTGCTCAAGATGACTGTTTGTTAACAGTTTCACACACAGGGTT